TGTCTTTTGCTGTGCCCTAGTTTTCTGTTTGAGTGACCCAGATGTTGTAAAATGTATTTCTAACAACAGTAATCCCCACAAATCCCTCCTGCCTCTAACATGCTTGTAGATGCACAGCTATGGCAAGAAAGGTGGTTCCAATACATAAGGAAGGATTTTCCTTAGTGGATATGTAGAGCTTTCCTGTAAATTCCACTGAAAAAAAAAAAAAAAAAAAAAAAAAAAAAAACATCCCTTCAAATCTTCAGCAGTTTTTCTTAAGGAAGCTTGCTCTACAATATGCAGAGTGGCCTCAAACATGCTCTCTGAAGTCCAGGCCTATACTTCAGCACAGCAGTGGGCCCATGAATGTGCAGAGGATGCTCATCTGCTCTGTCAGAGAGCAGAATCCAGCTGTTGGATTGTCCATGGCATAGGCATTGCAAACCACTCTTTTGGATCACTCACACATCTGGAAAAAAAGGCATGGAGAAGGTTAGATCATAGACATTTTCCACAGCAAATTAGTTAACATTAACTGCAGGAAAAAATTATTTGTGAGGGGAACCGTCCAGGAAAGCAATTAAAAAAGTGGACTTGAGGGGGTATGTATTCAGAGAACTGTGTGGGAAGTTGTGTGCATAGCTTCCACTGAAGTCAATGTCCAGAGTGACATCCTGGGGGATGGATGGGACATGAGAAAATGTCTTTAAGCATTGTAACCTTTATCTGGGTGAATATGAAACCTGTCACTTATTACCTGATGACTGTGTTCATAGCTTGGTTAAAAAACTGGGATAAGCAACCACGGGAAAAAATCCAACAAAACAAAACAAAACAAAACTACCACCACCAAAATCAAACAACCAACCAATCCAATGAGGGGAGGGGAGCAGGCTACGCACCAATGCTTTAGATTTCTGCTCCAAGCTTTTCCCACAGCTCACAAACCTTCAGAAAAGTAGACAAATCTGACTCCATTTTGAATAATGACTAGGATAAAAAAATGAAATTAGTTTTCCGAGGAGTCCCACTGCTTTCCCCATTAAAACTGGGAATGAATGCATGTACCTCTTTCCCTGCTTTGTTCTTGAATCTATTCACAGAAACTGGTGGTGGTTTCAGTAGAGTGCTGAAAAATGTACTTTTTAGTGACTCTGTTGCTCATCTGGCCCAACTCTTCATGCTGATGTTTCCCATTTTATTTTGGGAGGTATCATGTTGTGGTGCTTAAAAGGTAGCTTGTGCCTTCTCTAGTAGTATCTCTTTTGTAAATAAACAAAGCTCCTCAGACTCCACAGAAACTATCATAACACTTTTTCTCTGCAGTAAATTATGACCAAATAACAAAATGTTTCAAACTCTCAAAGGCTGTAACTAAATACAGCCAGCAATCCCCTACTTTTTGAATTATTGCAAGAAAGCCAAGTTCTCTGTGGTGGCTCAGCAGATCAAGGGCAGTTACTCATAAGTGAACAGGCATGATCACTGCACTGTGGCTGCATTGTGCTGGGGTAGTGCTGTCCACAGGTTGGGGTGGGGAATGCTTCAAACCAAGCCAAGCAGTTCCTGTGCCTGAAATGCCTTCCTTGAGAGCATAGAGCCATTCCAGAGGACAAGCATAAACTGCACTGGTTGTTTTTTGTGTGTCTCGAAGGCCAGATAAATGTCTGTATTTACAAAGAACCACGAAACAAACTCTGTGAGAGGAACTCTACTGTTGGATGAGCTCCCCGTGCCAAGTGCACGAAGCCTGGAAAGGTCTGTGATGGAGATCCAGCACAGGGGAGCTGCTGGGAAGAGCTGTCAGCATGTGATGTCTCTTAACCACTTTTAAGTTCTGTAGTAAACACGGGCACTGCTGTAAAACCAGAGTTGTGGTGGGGTGCCAAACCTGTGCTCCCCTTGGAGGTCTTGGGCAGGAACAGTTTCAGACTGTGCTGGTTGGATCTGGGAGGCAGGACTGCTGCTCAGGGCGTGCCTGAGGGAGGCCACCATCCCCTGATGTGACACTCTGGCCTCACTCATTTCTTTGTATTTCTGACTCATATTTGACCTCTCCAGCTGAAACCTTGGAAACTGCCTTTCAGGAGATTTCAGCCAAATTTACATGTTTAAATGTAAACCAAAGAAAACCAGTTGTATTGCCCATAGTAAAAATCACTTGGAATTTCTTCTGAGAAGCCCTAACACCTCTATGGCTCACAGAGGAAAAAGTAGAAATTTGGAAGAGCATCCTCTGCATAGTGAATGCTCTTTTATCACCTTGAGGAACATCTTGGCACGCTGTAAGCCTCTGAAAAATCACACTAATTTAATGGAATCTCCTTTGTCAGCAAAAGCCTTCATTATGGTTCAGCTCCTGTACATAAGTGGGCATTCTGTGCAGATTCCACCACCCTCCAGGAGTGCAGACCATGCCATCTGAGCAGACTGATGCTCAGAGTCAATGAAGGCAAAGGATGATTTTCCCCACAGCTCCTGCTTAGCCAGCAGCTTGGGAAAAGGCACTGGGATAGGGTGGTGTGAAGCAAAGCAAGGAGAAAGCTGCCCCACTCTGTTGTGGATGCTCTTCCTGCTGGGAGGTGGTCAGAGAGCAGGAGGAAGCTGGTTGGGATGCTGCGGGGAGAGCACAACCCACCAGCAGAAAAGCTGGGATGAAGAGCTTGGAGAAATACAAGTTCAATGGCTGTGAGGTGGGATGTGGAGAAAGGACTTGCTGAGACAAGAGACTGGTGAGGCAAGGTGCTGTGGGGGAGATGAGGTCCAGGATTAGCTGGGAATAGAGAGAGGAAGAGAAACAGAGCTGAAAGGACATGAATACAAGAGTGCACCCTTCCTAGAAGTCATTCAGTAAAACATGAAATATTGAAGTTTGAGCATTATTTCTTCTCTCCTCCAGCATTTAATGTCACAGACATTAGAAAATACCAGGGTAAATCCTGATTCATATGTCCTGACCCCTGCAGGGGTCTTTGAGACTAGTTAAACCTCTAGGGTTTAGTTAAACCTCTAGGGTTTAGTTAAACCCCTAGGGTTTAACAGTCTGAGAAACTGAAATCTCTGGTAGATTTTACCCCCCACCACAAGAAAGGCAAAGCTGCTCTAGTTTGTCTCAGAAATGGGGATCTTCAGGATTTCTTTTCTTGCAAAGATGAGAGCTCAAAAAATATTGCATTCAGCTTGGTGGAGTCTGCAGCATAGGCTTTCAAAACAGTCTGTGAAGCACAGGCTCCACACACAGATTGTGTAAGGCCTATGCAAAGGTCTTTCAGAAACACAGGACTTTTGCTTAAACTCTCTATAATTACAGATTTTACCTATAGGAAACTGGGAAAAAAATTACAAGTCCTTAGTGGACAGTGGAAGGATACAAGGCAGACCAGAGGCACTTCAAAATCAGTTTTCCTCTTATGAGGAGGCCACTTCTATGGAGCCAAGGTTAAGCACTTGGATTTTTGGTTTGGTTTGTGCTCTTTGAGTCCCTATCTGCCAAGGCTCATCCTTTCTGATGAAGATAAATTGCCTCTGCCCTCCAGAGCTTTCAGGTTTAGTTCCAGCTGAGATATGCTGGTAATCCTGAGATACAAAATTGTCTTCTGAATATATTGCAGTTAACTTCAGTTGTATAAATCCAAGCATTAGCTGGATACTATAAATAGGCAGGATGTGCAAGGAGGCCAAGTCAAAAATTTGCAGAAACCCTGCCTTTTTTCCTTAGTGCTATGCTTCATCATGTAGAATATTTTTCATCTGAAAAGGAAACAGCATGCATGTGCTTTGTGGCTGTTGTAATTCACTGGACATAATGAAACATTGAATTTCACACTTCAGAGAAGTAGGTTGGGAAGGATGGGCAATTTTTTCTCAAGTTTTCCTGCTTTTAGTATTTTCTTGGAGGTAGTTTTCTGCAAGATTGGGTAGGGAGCAGAAATACATCTGGTTTATATTACATGATGGCTGTACTATGGCAATGGAAAAAGATGGCACTTAAAAAAAAGGAAAGAAGAATAAAAAAGAAAAGTTTGGCAACTACAGAACAGAGCAACAATTACAAGAACTATCTTAAAATTCCCAGGATTTGTAATTTATTTTTCCATGCTTGCCTTTTTCTCATGTTGCTGGTGTTAAAGGAGTGGGACAGAGGAAATTCGGACTTTGCAAAGTTCAGATATCTCAGTGAAATAATCCCCTTTACTCAGGTTGCCCCCACAGCAGTTGCTGTGATTTGAATGCAAAAGGGATAAAAGCAAGGGAAAATGGTAGATTATAGTTTTGTTTCTCATGTTTCCTTCGGCCAGTAGATGTGAAGTCTTGAAGGGGGTCTTTCACTTAGCAAGTCTCATCTATGGAGATGAGGCAGAAGCAGGATTAATGCAGATGGTTTTGGAAACAGAGCCACATGAGGCATCTTTGTGATGGGAGAGGGGGAAAATTTATTCCAGCAATGCAAGAGTACCTGGTGATGTGTCCCCTGGTGCAGTTTGCAGTCTCTCTTCCCTCCTTCTATTCACCCAGAAAACAGGTTTTGCCCCCTGACACAGAAGCACGAAGAGCTGAGGCTCTGTTCATGCTTTGGCTCTCGGGGCAGAGGTGTTGGGAGCCCAGGCCAGTGAGGCTGGGCTTGGGCAGGCTGGGACCTGCCAGCACCTTCCCAGAGTGGGGAAAGCCAACCTCCCCTGGGGCTGCTTCTGCTCCCTCCAGTCTGGGGAGTGCAGGGCTTCATTCATCCCTGCAGGGCTGGAGCCTGGCAGCTTAGCAATCTGCTTCCCCTGCACTGAGCTCTCCGTTCTGGGACCTTTTATCACCCCCAGGTTGTTCAGCAACAGAGCTAACTTGAACTAGAACACTGGAACAAAAATACGCTCTGAGTGATCTTCATGTAAAAGCTAATGTGAAAATGTGGGAGTTTAGACCAACGTAAACACATTACATTCAAAACAATTTTCAGATGTAGTAAATAAAAGAATTGTTCCTGATCTTGAAATTCCCAAAGAACACATTTTCCTTCTGAGTCATGATTTAATTAGATTATATTTTATTAGACATTCTTTACAAATTTTAAAATACTGCTATTATACATGCACAAAGGAAAATCAGTTTGAACAATTGTATGTAGGCATTCATTGAAATCAACCACAAAACAGGAACATTTTATGTCAGTTATCAATGTACTCAATATGTATATCTAAAGTGCATTACGTTACAAAAAATATAGAAAGTCAGCAGCACCAAGATACGTTCACAAAATAAATACACCAGTCAACAAAATAAATTATGTTGAATGTGACAATAATAATTGTCTTAGCCTTAGCCAAAAAAAAAAAAAAAAAAAAAAGGAAAATTCAATTCACAATAACCAAATGTGCAGTTTCAGAGAGCAACAGGGGGAAAAGGTTTTATTCTGAGCATTTACAATATTTACAGGTAATAAATATTTTAATACTTCCCATATGTTCACTATTACAGAATACTGCAATGTGTCTTCCAAATATCTCTTGCTGAAAATGTCAGCGCCTCCTGCAAAGAAAAGACAGGACAGGAAAAACAGAAAAACTAATTAATTTTCACTTTTTCACTTCAAATGTGTGGACATAGAATCAATAGCAAGAGTGCCCCAGACTGTAACAGGTGTGCCTTGCTAGTAACCATCTGCCATAACAGGGCCTGTTTGACCATGTCACAGTTTTAGACATTTATTCGAGATCTCTGCTATGTTTTTCTCAATGCAAGCCCTCTAGAAGTGTGATGTCCCACAGTTTATCACACACTGAGGCCATTGTACCCTCAGAGGAAAGGAAAGGGGCTTTTTTTTTAAATTTAGAACTTCATGCCAGAAGATTCCTCAGTGCTACAGGCAGAAGAATTGTATCACCCTATGATAAAAATGTCAAATGCTGAAAAGGAAAAATATACAGTTGGAGAAAAGCAAAAATAGTTTTGAGACCTTGTTAACGCTGTGGTGATGCTGTGTCAACTGCTGGGGAGTGATGCCACGTTCTGATAAAACAGTGTCATGGGGCTTCTTTGGTCTCTTTTCCCACTGATAGACCACCCCTTAGGCAGGGGGCTGTGGTATGTGTGAGAAAAGGCTGCTCAGGGCTTGGAGTCAGCACACCCTTGATAGCATCTCTTCCTGTGCCTGACTGAGTGAAAAGGCTCTAATCCTGAAACTTTCCCTCTGGGAGCCAGAGAGCTTGGTTCTGAAAGAAAGCAACCATCCCATCCTATTACCCTCCAGTTCCTGTGGCATTCAGCCCAGCTGGAGTGATCAGCTGCCCCCACTCCTGAGACCTGGGAGTTTTCTAGGGAATGCTGCAGGCTGGTGGGAGTTCTCTCCCCATGAGAGCAAAGCAGGGCCTGCTCCCCCCATTATTGTATTCCTTGTGCTCCAACATGAAGTTGCACAGAGGTGCTGCAGGAAATGCTGAAGAGTTGGGCTTTTTTCCCCTTCTGTCCCTGTGAGCAGCATATGTTCTTTAGGGGTTCCCTGGGAAACATCTAAGGGTGGAATGTGGAGATACAGGATGGAGTGGGATTCTCTCTGCTGCAGGACTGATCACCAGAGCTGGGGGTAGCATCCCATGTGGCAAAAGTGTGTGGGTGTGAGGCACAACAAAACACAGCTCCTGAAGAGTTTAAAAGGTTTCCTTAACGTGCACATTGAAAGGGAAGCTACATCTATCATTTGGGAGTTTACTTGTTCAAAAGTTTTTTTTGGAAATTAAGTAAGAGCACCTTAATTTAATTTAAATGGGAATATAGCTGGAATGTTAATGAGAAATAACATGTGCCTGGGATGGAAATGCTAGCTGAAGCTCCTTGATAATTAGCTAGCAACAATATTAGGGTCTGTTTCAGGATATATCCCAACAGGTATAACAATGGCACATAATTCACACAACATGGCTGTGTATGTGTGTGTGTCTGCACTACTCAGGCCTATTTCTAAGAGGGTGACATTTTCAATTTAGCCTGGATTTTAGGCTTGGTTTTAAAGTTTAAGCTAAGCCACATCTTGACAGTGGGCTCTATAGTAACAATAATTTGCAAGCTGTGTTCTGTGATTTGGACCTAGGTTTTGCAAGATTGGCTTCTTCCATGAGATACTTCTTGTAGTAGGTTAAAAGGTCTAGAGGTTATATTATTATTGTCCATTTTGGTTTTGGACCTAAACCCAAAATTTTGTTTTCAAGACTAATCAGATAGAATTGTCATGAAGATTTAATCCAGGGTGTTCAGCAGAAAAGAAGCACAGAGATAGTGAAAATTATGCTTAAATCATGCATCTTTTGCCAGCCTACTGAGATAACTAAAAACTCAGGTACTAGAAGTTTGTTAGGGCTGCACCAACATGCTCTCTGTACTTGTGAAGGAGGAATTCCCTTTTCTTTTTTCAATGGGTTCTCCTTGTTTATTAATCCCCAATTAATTATCTAAAATATAGGTTCTTTTTAGTAATAAGTGAGAAATGCTGCATTTGGATGGACTCCACAGTAAAGGAGCCATCCAGACACACTTCAAACAGAAAGGCTGAACTGAGAAAATCAACAGGATTGTACCTGTGGCTTTTTTATATATCCCATTAGATGAACAACAAAGACAGCACAGCAAGAAAAAGAAGTAACTATTGAATGTTTTTGTAACTAGGGTGTTTTTCCTTATATTCTAGATTTCTTTGTGCTCAAGACACGTGTTATATACTGACCAACACAGTCCTTTGATATCTGTTGAAACATCAGGTATCTCCTGAGCAGAATCTTGAAGTTTGCCTTTCCTAAGGTGCTGAGACAAACCAGTGTCTCTTACTTCCCTCCTACCTGCTACAGCCATGCCAACTGGTCTGTGGTCTGGGATATCCTGGTTTATGGTCTGGGATATCCTGGTTTATGGTCTGGGATACCCTGGCCTCCGGTCTGGGTGCCCAGCCCCAGGTGTTGGCAGCTCTTGTAGATGAGGTGATGGAGTACATTGCAAACTGTGGCCTGTAAAGCTTAACCCCAGGTGGATTTTAGTAGATCCCACAGCTGGTGTCTCTTTCCAAGGGATTTACTGCAATCAAGTGGCACTTTTCTGATGTCTCTGTTCTGCCAAGGTGAAGGGGAGAAGGAGAGAAAAGGATGGAGGTTTGCTGGTGAAATGCAAACATCTGGGGAGAACTGAAGAGTGGAATCCTTGGCTTTGTCTACAAGTATGCAGATTTCCACTCAAGCTGAGATGACTGCAAGGGGATGATTCACTTGGGACATCTAGGCTGATGTCTCCAGGCCACCACCCTAAAAACCCATCACAGTAATGCATGAGGGAAGCATGTCCCTCTCCAAGAGCTAGGCTAAACATTTTTAGGCAGCAACGTAATTGCTTCACAAGCTGGCAAAAGGATGGAGCTGAATTAAAAAATCCTAATGGTAGGGAAGGTTTTATGGTGAAAGGCTGGTCTGCATTGTTTGCAGATATTACTGAGAGAGACTTTTTCCATGTTCTCTCCTAAGGTTAAACAGTAAAATGAAAAACTGTAAAGCAAGCGTAGGAAAGTTGCCAAAAAGGGGAGGTGTTGAGAGAAAGGAAAGAAAACTTCGCCATTTTTATAGATGCAAAGCCTCAAATAAAAATCAAAGCTTTCAATCTGTTGAGGCCCAAGTATGGGACCAAGATAAGATGTGAGATACACTATGGTTAAAGCAGGAAGGGAAAATTTAGTGATGTGCTTTCTTTCTACAGAATTACCTTCACTTACTACTCAGCTTCAGGAAGCAGATTTTGCCAATATTTTTCATTAATTGTGTGTCATAGGAAAGAAAGGCTCTGTCCCCAGTGCAAAGTGGAAGAGGCACTTACCTGCAGAGAGCACCTTGAGACTGTGCTTGAAGCCACTGCTCAGTCATGAGCGCAAAGATCTACTTTTACTCCCAGCGTGAGCCAGGCCTTGGCCTCCGCCTCTCACACCAAGGGATAACAACTTCAGTTAATACATGGCATGCTCCCCACAAGAATATAGCAGAATTACCTTAAAGTTTGATTATGTGTAGTAACAGAGATGTCCAAGAGTGGGCTCTCAGTCACGATGTCTCCGTACATGCCAGAATTTAGCCAAGCTGAGCGGGTTCGCCTCTTTTTCTTCTCTTGTTCCTTACGTTTTCCAGGCTTTGCTTTCTTTTTCTTCCCTGAGACCTTCAGGGGCTGCTCCTTGTAGGTCTGTGATTTGTTTGTCTCCTGAGTTAGGTATCTGCCCTCATCTTCACTGCCAAACCGGACAGGGTAGTTCTTCGTGTTGGTGGCAGGTTTAGGGTTAGGTGACACCTCTGATGTTGCACGGATCTCTGCAGTGTTGACACCTTCGATCAAATTTTGAAGGAATATTCTTCTTCGTAAGTCTTGGATTGACTTGCCCTTGTCATGCAATAGCTGGTGCTCTGATACAGCCCGTTTGCTAAAGGCAGAAAAGAGAGGAGAGGGGAAAAAATGTTTAGGAATTTGTTATTGCCCAGTGTTTGGCAGAGCTCCTCTCTTCTCTGGCTGTGGTGACCACAGCGACCAGGTACCAGGCTTGGAGACATCCAGTGAAGCCGGACTGCTGGAGCAAGTCCTGCTTCATCCTCAGAGTAGCTACTCTCAGCAGAGAAGACCTAAGTGGGCTATAATTCTCAGCTGACGGATCACACACCACTAGAGCTGGATTAGTCACTGCTGTGTTCTAGGAAAGCATCATGACTCTTAATATATCACACTTGAGGCAGTAAAAGCAGGAAGGCGGTTGTCAGAGATAGGGAAACTAAAGGGTCAGATAATGCAGCAAGATAGGGAAAACCCAGCACTTATACTGGAGCCGGAAGCAGTGTTTATACAGCATCATTCTAGTGATTTTCTTCTGCTCAGTCTTCAAAAACATAAACAAGCACATAAAAGTACATTTTACTCCTACATTTTAATAAGTGCAATTGCAGGAGTGTAAGGGAAAAATATTTGAATTGGGGTGCCTAAAGCACAGGCACTTCAGTCCATAATGAGCTATCCAAGGAGGCAGCCTGAGCATCAGCCACTCCTGTAGATTTACTGCTTGGTCACTTGTGTCTAATTACGGTTTTAGATGCCCTCCTAATGTTGCTTGAAGTGTGAACTTTTGGGGCCAAATTTCTTGTCTGCTTGAATTTTATGCTAACCCTCTTCACTGGATCTTTTTCAAGAGCATCCTGGTTTGTTAGAGTGGTTTTTCCAGAGTTCATCCTGACCTTTTGGTACACTGAGCTCTGTCTTGTTTTCAAGGAACTGGGAGTTGAGTAGCTCTCTGTCTTTTAGAGATGTTGTACTGGCAAGGAATGTATTAAACATCTGAGGAAAGAAGATACAAATGACACCTGGATAATAAATAACCAGAGAAAATGTGAGAAAATACATGTCTTTTTCTTGAAGTGGAATAGATGCACAGCTGTGCTGTGAACAACAGACAGAGCAAAAGCTCTGGGATTTTAGCTACGTTCCCACGAATGCAATAATACAGTTTATCCTTCCAATTGCTCTACTCCAGCATGCAGAGTTTGGCTATGGAATCTCTTCTCCTGCATTAGGGTATGGCATGTGACTGGATTCTCACTGGCCAAAGAAATTCCATTCACTGCCTTGCTTGTCCTGTAATCATTTGGTCAATTGGCTGGGTAAGAAGGGGCTTCTGCTTGCGGGTGAACTGGAAGAAGACACATCATTGGGAGTAAATATTCCTTCTTTCCATCCCATCCCACCTTTTCCTGCTACATTACCAGATTTGAGAATGCAAAATATTTGGGAGTGTTCTGCAGGTTCTCTTTCTCAGGCCCCTCAGCCAAACTCTTCAGGTTTATTACTTGACCAACAGTGGAGCTGTTGGAAATTGGCAATTTCAAGTAGCTCTGTTTTAAGAGCATCCCCTTCATTATCTGTCTTTGTAGGGCTACATTTTTTGAGCATTGGGTTCAAGTGATGGATTGAAGTGATACTACATCTCTATTGCTCAGTGCAAAGTTCAAACAGCAGCTTTCCCCCGTTCCACAATTAGACTGGAAGATGACTGTCAAAATGTTTGTGAGCACACATGTAATCAAATATTGTCTGTGTTTTAAGTGTCCCAAAATCAGTTCTGGGTGACTTTATCCTTTAGGACAAACATTTTATGCCCCTCTTCTAAATGTCCATAAGCAAAAATGCAATGTGATAATGCTAAGCTGATCCCATATTGTGTCTTTTTCTTCAATGCAACTGTGACCATTAGCAGAACTTGTGATCTCCCTCAGAAGTTTTTTGAACAAGAGTCATCTCCAACACCCTTCAAGTCTGACTGGCAAGTAAGGCAATAAAGCCAGCACCCTGGGCTCCTCTGTGTGACTGCCTCTGTGCTGCCTGTCAGGCTGTCCAGTGTGACTCAGGTTATATTCTGAGCTTCAGTTGTCGATTTTCTCAGGAAATTTGCATGGGAAATGTAGTTTTGCTTTCATTCTTCTAGTTCATAGAAAGCGTATGAAATCTATGTGCCTTAGGGAGTGTAAACCAGTGTCTCATGTGATGAGCAAAGCTTTCCTACTGCCTCTTGTGAACTACCAAGGCTAATTCCTTCTATCACAGACAACCCAAAGCTGCCTTAATCCTCTAATGTGTATTTGGTCAGCTTCCCCACTGTGACAAAATCTTGACTCTCCAAAGCCTGTTATTAAAGTCCTCTTGATTGAAAACCTATTCCATTTTACAGAGCTTAAACCTAAATATTTGGTTCCAGTACACACAAGGCAGTCAGAGAGCATTACAAGATCTACATCTTGAGTGAGTATGCATTTCCAAAATAATGCAGGGATTGACGTGTGAGGGATTGGTGTGCCAAAGAGGGTGGGTTTCTCTTTAAATGTCTGTATGATATTTAGCATCAAGTCTGGCCCCAAATAACATTCTGCTATTCCACATGATTGTATAACATTATGTAGTGTTACATTTCACATGACTTATTACTCAGCCAGACTTAAGGATTACATTTTGCCTACCGGCTTCCTTTGTATACTCTAGATCAAAAAACCTCCTTGAAACAAAGATGTGGTGGATACATATCTCTTTGACCTTCTGCCTCCTTCTGCTCCAGTTATTCAAGCAGCACCTATGTTTCTAAGTATGGAGAAAGGCTTGCCCAAGAGGACTGATGTAAGAAGTGCTTCATAATGGAGATATCAACAATATCTCACCCACACACTCAGAGCAGGAAGAGAATGGAGACTGCAATGATTGTATTCACATATTGGCCACAATATGGAAAAAAATATTAGGCTGTTAGGGTTAAGATGACCCACTAGAGGTCCCTTCCATCCTTCTATAAAACACACCTCTCATCCAAGGAAAAGGATCCTGTACCCAAACCAAGAGCAGTAAATGCTAAGCTTACATGTGGCAGACACTTTCGAGAGAGGGATGTTGATGTACTTGATGTACTTGACCAGGGCATCCAAACTAATTACTGGATCCAAGTACACTGTATACATATGAGGCTGAGTGTCTCATCATGGGGAGAGCAGCAGAAATCCATGACTTGTGACTACTTCCAGATAAGCTGCTCTTTTCATGCACATTCCTCCTTTTTTTCCCCCTGGAGATAGCTAGCATTTCTAAAAGGCAACATTCTTCAAGCTACCACTTTCTATCTCAGAGAGCTGCTCTTATTTAGCTGTTATTATCCTTGACTGTTCATGTTGGGTCTGATCCTAAATTCAGGAAAATAACTGAGGAGGATTCAGTGAGCTCTCTGTATTTTGCAAGACTGAGTGCCCTTGCCACTGACTCCAAGGGGAGGGAAATCTGCTCAACCTATCTCAGACTTCAGAAAAATATTTTGAACAGATCTAGGGACATGATTCTGCAATATCTGGAAATAATGATAAAAATATGTAATTTCATTTTGAGGCATTACTGACTTCTCAGAAGTTCTTTAGCAGCTATAGCACTCCTATAACAAATAACATGTCTGGAAATATTTTCTTGGGAAAATTTGCTATTGCTTTCCATGAGAGATTTGCTTCAGCGAAGTCTGTAGAACCAGGCCTACGTAATTTTGATTATTTTTGCATGTCTATAATAATGCGCTTCACTATTTTCATCCATTACTGGCTTAAGTTTTTGACTGAGAAAAAAAAATCTCAATGCCTAAATGAGTTATTAGCCATTAACTCTAGGAATGGCTTGTGGTAATATTAAAACAGGACATGTGTTTGAGTGTGGTGTCTGTGTTTATGCTGTGCCCACAAACAAAACTACATGAATGCCACTAACTGACAGCTGACTGGTTTCTTGTGTGTGTTTTACATGCCATAGCAAAGAGGGAGCTGAGAAAAGTGTTTTTTCTGGTTAGCTTACACTTTTCTTCCCCCCTGTCAGGACAGAATGGGGAAGCTGGGAAAACCTCTAATCCTGACCTTTAAAACAAGTGTTAGAACTACACTAACTTCAAAAAGAGAAAGAGTATTTCTCTGCAAATCTAATTTTTTTTTAACAACAAAATTTGGCTTAGATCCAGTTCAGAGTTTCCTAGCCAAGAAAATAACAGCATCTAACTGCACTTCAACTATTTTCTTTTTTTTTTTTTATTTATTTTTGAAATTTTGAAAGTTTGATTCCTCTGTATAACATGGTTCCAAAAGAAAGAAATAGCCCAAGAACAGCTTTCAGGAGTACAAAACAGTTAAACATTAATGGACTGAGAATAATACTGTAACATTATAAGCAATAACATGTTCTACACAATTTGCTGTAGGAGATTTGTAATAGTTCTCTGCCTGGTGCCAAACTTTAGGTGTGTCTGAAGTTGCTTCACCTGGGGCATTTATTTTTTTTTTTTATTTTGGATGTTTGGGGGTATTATTATTATTATTATTATTTTTTATTTTATTTTTTTTTATTGTTGTGTGTGTGGCCTAACTGGCAGAGGAAATGCTATTTGGAGATCTTGTCCTTATGTATGTAATAAAACACTTACAAGGAAACCCATCTGAAATTGTTTGCTGTGTCATGTTTCCCTGTAAGTTGTGATCGGATTTTCCAGCAGTCTTTCTCCAGCTTGGCTTCCTTCAGAGCTGAATAACAATACAGCCCTCCCCAGTGTGACTGAGGTGTTTCTTCCTGAGAAAATCTGATGCAAGTCCAGAGAAAGCCAGTGAGTTAGAAGTGTGAGACAGCTGCTCCTGCATCAGGGAGATGCTTCTGCCCTTTGTGAACGGGTGTTACTATAAACCAGGCTGATTATTTTGGAAGAAGCAAAAAGGTCATTTCCTGAACAGACTGTCTTAAGATACACTATCATTTATCAAAAATATACCTCTGCCTATAAGTAAGATACTAGACTCCCTTGGCATTTTTTTCCCCTGAAGTGGCAGAAATCCAAAGAAATTGTTCAGTACTTCAGTATCATGATGGCCCTCACTTCTGCGTGTTTCCTCTACTCCTATCAACACTGGCTGCATGCCAGAGCCGAGGAAGTGTCTGTAAGTTATTGTAACACACAGCGTTTGGATAAACCGGGATGCTCCCTGCGAGGGTCCCGGGCAATGCGCAACAATCACCCAGGTGTGTCGGAAGAGAAGCCCCAAAGCTTTGCAAGGTCAGAAAGCTGCAAAGCGCTCTTTCCCTGCCCCGAACGCCTGTTCCTGGCTCTCGGGCAGCGCCAGTGACACCTGGGGCAGGTAACCCGGGCCGGCCCCGCCAGACCGGCAGCGCTGCGGAGCCTCCCGGGCTGCCTCCCTCCCTCCCTCCCTCCCTCCCTGCCGCCGCAGCGAGGACGAATAAAGGGAAGGAAGAAAAGAAAAAGAGAAACTCACAGTCTGCGGCTGATCCCCTCTACTGATCTCCCGTAGGAGGGCACGGAATAACTCAGCAGGAACACTGCAAAACTCCACTGCTGGAAGAGTTTAGCGAACATTGTACCCTCCGGGACCTAAAACCTGCAAGGAAAAAGAGGTCAGTCCGGAGGGACAGATGCGCCAGCGCCGTCCTCAAGGAGTCCCCCTTCAGCTCTACCAGCTCCGAGACTCTGAAGGAAAAACAAACTTTCTGAGCTCTCGGCTCACTCCTTCCAAACTTCTCTCCGTCTCTCTCCCTTCCTTGCTGTCTGCCTCTCCCTCCCTCTTTCCCTCCCTCCCTCTCTCTGTCTCTCGCTGTCCGCAGGCAAGATCTCTCTCGGTATTAGCTCAAAAAGCATCTCATTTCAACTGCGTTAGAGCGGGGCTCAGTGGGTTCCCCGAGCCCTGTTTAGTTCTAGTCCGCTAAGCCACTCTCTCAGGGCTTTATATTACAGCAGAAAGCCTTCCTTGCAGATAAGGAAAGATTCCCTGAAGCCAGCTTAGCTGCTCGCTTCTCTGTAAACTCGCGCGGACACACAAACACACAGACTGAGGCGGAGGGGGAATGCATCTCCACATCTGTCTTTCAGTATACCTCTGCAAAAAAAAAAAACGGGTCAGGTTCACGTCTCCAGCTGCCAGAAAGTTTTGGTCCCCAACAGTGATAAGGAGAGAGACAAGCGGTGACGAGGAGAGACAAACAAAGGTCGCTGCCTATCTGGAGAGCCCGAGAGGTCTGGGAGGAGCGGCAGATCCGGGAGGCTCAGGGGCTGGGAAGCATGCTTGGCTCGGCAGGTTGGACTGGGCTGCAGCCTGGGATGTTCACACGCTCCAGAGCAGCCTCTGGGAGACCTGCGGGAGGACGGAGGGTTTTGCAAAGAGATGGCGCCCTAGGAACATGTGCGGAGAGAGCGAGAGCCAGGGCGGGATACCCACAGCCAAAACGGAGACTGCGAATCAGCGCTTCCCAGGCCCGCAATCAAAAAGGAGAGAAGAAAGGGAAAGACCCGACAGCACATGCACTCAGCGGACCCCAAGGACTCCGACCAAGCTCTCCGCATGTTCTGCAGCCGCACTCCTCTCTCGCTCACCTTCCAGCTCTCCCTTTTTGTGTTTACCCCCGGGTCAGCGCCTCCCCTGCCGCGAGAATTCCTCCCATCGCTGGGAGCACTTTTTAGTCAAGTCCCAAAGCGCTGCCCGGGACTGCTGCCGCCTTTCCTTGCACGCACCTACCGTTGTTGGTCGCCGTTCCCCTATTAGCCGGAGGGTCGGTTCGTAGGGATGCTAATTGTACGCTAGTGAAGGGAGGGGGGGGAGCTCAGGGGGAGGGCCGGGGGAAGGACTCGCGGTCTATGAACACAAGCGCTCCTGGCCAAAAAAGTAAACTAGTGGAAAGTTTTCTCCTCCTCTCCCTTTTTCGCCTTCCACTTCGCCCTCCTTCAGCCTGGACTTTCCAGGGCCCTGGAAACCGCTGCGTCAGGTTGAGCTCCCGTGCGAGGCGGGCAGCGCCGCGGGGCTGCGGGACAGCGGTGCCCGAAGCGGCGGGAGGCGGCCGGTCAGTCCCGGCCAGCCCCGGTCAGTCCCGGGCAGTCCCGGCCAGCCCCGGGCAGCCCCGGCCAGCCCCGGTCAGTCCCGGGCAGCCCCGGCCAGCCCCGGCCAGCCCCGGCCAGCCCCGGCCAGCCCCGAGCCCCGCTGGGCACCGCCGGCCGCCAGCCCCGCACCCCGCGACGGAGGCACCAAACTGATCCATCCGTCCCGGGACAGCGCTGGTGTCAAACCCGAAGGTGACGCAGCCCGCCCGCCTCTCCAGCCTGTTGGTGCAAGGAGCTCCCCTCGGCTGCTACAAGGGGACAAGGGGACAGAGCCGAGGGCAGTGCGCCCCGGCGGCTCTCCCGGAGGGAATGCCCCGCACGCCGATCTCCTCACGTCCGACGGCGCGGGCCGTGCCGTGCCGTGCCGGGCGCACCGGGGCCGCCGGCTCCGTGCCCGCAGCATCCCGGCAGGCTGAGCCCGGAGCCCCTCCAGAGACCGCGGCGGGGCACCGGGGTCGCTGGTTGTGCCGCTGACAGCCTGATTTACCGGGAATGCTTTCCCAACAGCCTCACGAGCCGCAACAAAACACTGAGGCGTGCCGGCTGATTGCGCCCTCTCATCCTGCCCCCGAATTAAAGCAGGTTCTGCGAGAAGGTTTAGGTGCAAAGCGAAGCGTTTTTCTACCTGCAGGTTATTTGAAGTTAAACGACGCTTGCTGACACGATTTAAAAGCCCAGATTCCACACTACGCAGGTAAATAAAACCGACAGCGTAAGCGCTGAAATAGAAATCATGCTGAAAACATTAAATCGTTAATACTGTAAATAAATTCCCTGAACACCTGGTAGGCTATAATTTAAAATGTGTAGCTAATAGGCGTCTTTGATTTACACTGTCCTTTCGACTAATTAAAAATAATTGTGACATCCCCAGAAAATAGCCCCCACAAACTCATAAGATGTATTGCTCATGTTAAAAATAAAACTTCCATCAAATATTTTTAGAATTTCCTCTACCCAGAAATGATTAAAAAAAATATACACCAAAAACCAACACACACCATCCTTTACAGACTCAGGAAAAATAAATAGCCTCTATAAACTCAGAATCCTGAAGTTTCTTCTCAGTTTATCACTTCACCTTTTCCTTGAGTTACAGCTGTCAGTGCCTCTCAGAGATCACTCTGGCCAACAGTGGTTGCTCTTCTCAGCAATTG